CGAGCTTCTTCTTCGATTTGTGGCGTGCGCTTTAATGTTGTCACACAAAGGTGAGGGAGCTATAGTTTTATGGGGACTCTGAACAGCGATTGTATTTTTATGAGAAGCAGTTATTCATAGCAAGATATCCTTGGAGATTTGCCATTGCCTGCCAAAGGGCGACCGATATTAGAAAAACACTTTTTTATGTTTTATTTCTTGGTGTTGGTCGGAAACTGGGCTCGAACCCAGGCCCTGCGGATTATATTGACGGTTAGAGTCCTGTTATAAAAACAACGAATCTATACTTAAAACGAAGTTTTTCAAAAATTCTGAATTTTTCGTTGCATCGAAATTTTGTTATTCCATAAATATAACGAAACTATAGATATACCTAAGAATTTCCACTTCGTTATATCGAGGTTTAACTGCATTTATGATTCTTAGAGTCTGCAGCTGGCATATATTTGAATAGAAATAGTAAAAAAGACTGTGTTGCAACAGTGTTGCAAATTTTCATCAGTACGACAGTTATGTCGCTTTTATTACGTGGCTCGAACAGGAAATCTCATTCCTCTAGTATTTCTACAATGGACTGAAGTGGCTTCGACTTAAATGAATAAAAAAATGTACATAATTTTTATAAATGAACTACAGTGTTTTGGGTGCCAAAGGTAATACAAATAATTCCTCCACTTGACATCACCATAGACATCATGAAGAGTTAGAACGGATTACTTTAGACTAGTTTTCTATTTATGCTGAAATAAATTAGCCTTCCACAAAAAAATCTCAATAAGCAAGCACTAAATTTTGTGAAAAAGATAGTATAGTAAAATGTTGAGGTTTAAATAACTAGAAACAGTGTTCACCTCTCTTTTGCTCCAGTCGATACTAGTCACAGCTTTCGTCATCAAATTGTTCGTATGCGCTATAAAAAGCGAAATTAAAGAAAAAATGGAGGGCCAAAAGGCCTAAAAGTATGCTAATCGAAACAAGAAGTAGAACAAAACTGAATGCATTTTGAAATTCGCAGATATGTATGCACAAATTAATTTGCGAATCAAACGTACATATGTACATACATATATGTGTATATGTAGATATGTATGTATATGTCAATGCTTTTCTCAGCACATAATACCTTTTGCTTTGCCTTTCAGGCGGAAACTTCACTTCCAATTCAATACATCCGATATGGAGATCGATTCGATGCGTCAAACTGCATTTGTAAATGTCACCGGATGTCGCTTGGTGGGTTGATATGGTATGGTTGATATTGGTATGTATACCACGGTTGCCACTGTTGGTTGTTTCCAACCAACTTTGGTTTTATTTATTTTTATTTTTATTTTTGTAGTTTTTTCTCTGCTTTGGCTTTCGTTTTTTTTTAATTAGAACTTAGCAAATTTTTTCTTCACAAAAAGTATTATTGCATACCGAATGCCAAAAATGAATAAACGAATTTTTCAAATTCCTATTTTTAATGTAACATGTTTTATATGCACATCTAAAAAGTAAAAAATGTAATTAAAGCTTATTTCCAACAAAATTAGTGAAGTCGTTTTTAATGTGACTGGTCTAAGACTTACACAACAATAGTGTTTTAAGGCTTTTGAGATTGAGAATACGGGAAAAATAGTTTCGTTGGATAAAAAAATTTCCTTGACATTTCAAATGACCTTCAAAGGGAGGAGGTTTTCAAGTTTTTCCTTTTTTGACCTGAAAATAATTTGCAGTGAACTTTTTAAAAAGTTTTAACAACACATTTTTGCTCCTCATGCTTCCAGGAATCCTTTTCCATGGTCGCAGGAATCGAAAAACGCATTTTAATTTTTCTTTATGAATTCATGACTAGCCGTGCTCGTTCTCGAGATATTAGAATTTGTCACGAAAAAAGTTCAATTTCCACACTGTGTGGCGTTATTGTCGAAGCTTTTAAAAATGTTTTACTGTACGAATCGCAACATATTCGGAAATACGTACATTGGCTAAGTTCCAAGAGTAACTGAGAAAATACTACTTTTGGTTAACTCATAGGTTATTCACATTCGAATGGGTCACACGAGAATTATTATTTTTGACCTAAAAAGAAACTTGACAGGTGGCGCTAAGTGGTGCCGCCCCATCAATTCTTTCGAAAAACATAGAAGTTGATGTAGGGCTTTAATTTTTTCTATGTAATATTTGTAGACACAAATAAGGAAAAAACGAAAAATGGTCGTGATTGGTTTATTTTAAAGCATACCTCCCATACAAACCTTCTTCAAAATCGCCTTAAAATGCTATAAAAAGCGCATCGATGAGAATATAACTCTGAAATTTCGTCTATCTGTTCATAAATAATAATATTATAAGTAAACAAACTAAAAATGGGTATGGTCGGTTTATTTTAAAGTGTATCTCCCATACAAACCTAACCTCAAAATCGCCTAGGAGTACCGAAAAAAACGTACCAATGAGAATATGACCCCGAAATTTTGTCCATCTGTTTATAATACTACGATAAGGGAACACTCTAAAATGCAGGAGATCGTTCGCAACAAAATTAAAAAAAAAACAACGCCAATTCGTAAATTGCACTTATTCAGATTATAAAGCTCAAAATTTTCATCAAAATTTGTTGAATTTTCCTAAATTTTGTGGTAAGTTTGCAACCTTGATTTATATGGTTTTGGCTAAAGCTTCGACAATATTTTTATAGAAAAATAACAAAAAAATTAGCTTGAAAACATTCTGAATATTTAAAAAAAAATCAACAAGTGGACACTTGTTTGAGACATTGTATTTATGCGAAAAGTATTTCCGATAATTTAGTTTAAAATGTCTTCAATTTACCCAAGAAGCACACGATTTATAGAGATATATTCAACCCCGCCTAGCTAACGTATGATCGTAAATATAAGGCAAGGTAAAAGGAGTCCTAAAGTAGACCAAATATTGCGACTCAACGGTTTTCACGCGAAAACTCTTTTTTCACCTCTCTCTTTTTACATAACTTGCATACACGTATAAATACTTATGCAGTATATTTTAAGAGATTTATATTTTACACTAATCCCTTCCTTATCCTTTGTTTGTTTGTATGTATGAAAGTGAATTTGTGAGAGGTATGCCGCTCCCTTAATGCATGCCACTTTTGCTAATGCATTTTTAATAGCCTACAAATAGGCGCCCCACCTGCATAGCTCTTAATATTCAATATAAATATGTAGTCTATTTGCAGGAGTTGCGACCGCACTACAAACACTTATGAACATACAAATGTACAAAGGTGCAATACATACATACCTACCGCATTGTGATTGTAGTTATGCCAGCTGCCGCTGCCAATATTTCTGCTACTGATACTGCTACCTCCACTGCTTCAGCCAACATTTTCGCCTGTAGTTGGCCGTTGTTGTTGTTGTTGTTGTTCCTCTTATCGTCGTTATGCTGTCGTTATTCATGCAATGTGCTCGTCGCATTGCTGCTTTTGTCTGCGCCACAGTTTGACAGTTCATTTTACATGCACATAAAGGAGTTCCTGTCTTATCCTGTCCTACTGCCACACTGCCATACTGCCAAAGTGTGACACACGTTCGCCTTCACGCCTGCACTCCGCTCGTGCATTCGTCTTGTCACACCAACACCGATGTGCGCGGATGAGGATGCGAATGATTTTGTTTTGCTTTTGTTATCGTATGATAAATAATACAATCGTGTCGACGCTGTTGTTGCACGAATCTTAATGTGTGATGCTGTTTGCGGTGGTCTTAAGTGGTGTTTTGATATCGTTATTGTTTTTTTTTTTGTATTATTTGCAGTGAGTTGCTTTTGTGGTTGTTGTTGTTGCTACTGCCATTGTACTAGGCCTGTCCTGTCGTAGCTGTGCACTGCTATCGCCACACTTTACTAATTCACAAAGTTAATCAAAATGAGAGCACTGGAAACAGACACTTACATACACAAGCGCACGCACGCGCGTATAAAAGCACATACGCGTATACACAAACATCCACACTCGTACTCAGGCGAAGAAGAAAGGACAAGTGTATGCATAGAGGTCCGTACAAACTTATGTATATGCATATGTTCCTGCTATCGACAAGTTTAACACCACAGCAGTGACAGGAGCAGGAGCAAGAACGGCGGTAGCTTTTTAGTAGCAGCCACAACGCACATAAATACATATTAACACATATGTTTGTGGATTAAATGCAGCCACATACATACATATGTAAACGTTTGAGCCTGATGTGTACGAATCTGCACACACTTTCGATTGTCCTGCCTCGCCTATAGCAGTTGCCGCTCCCTAACAGCCAACTACATTCATACCTACATACGCTTTATATCTAGCGCTGCTAAAAGTATGCTACATATAAAAGCAAACAGATTTTAAAATTTTTTCACGCTTGCCTTTCTTTAACTCAGTTGCACACATGGTATGTATGTAAGTACGTTTAACCATCTCACTTTGTTTAATTACATTTTATCATTACATATATTACCTCGATTCAATTTTTTTTTTAAATTTTTCGTACATAAATCTTCTGCTAATCCACATCTCTACCCATGCACAAGAATATACATACATACATACTCTACATATATCGATGTATAACACCAACACTAGAACATTAATTTAGCTAAATGGCCTGACAGGCTTGGCTGCGGGTATCCTTATTTTTCCTGCTTTCTCCTCAAATAAATTCTCATGCATTTTTTTCACATTTTCTCAATAACTTTTCAACGAAAAACTGTAGCAGGTACATTTATGTACATTATTTTGATTACACACTTTTCACTACAAACTACTTTTGCGTTTGGCTTCTTTTATGTAAATCACATTGATTTAGCTTAGAATAATAAAATATATATGCCCATTATATATGTAAGTAAATAGTTAAGTATCTTTTCGCCTAAATGTATTCACGCTTATTATAAAACTCAAGTTTATTGCTTCAAATCTCATCCGGGACTGAATGTGTACCATCAACGGAGCGAATAATCAGTCTTTAGTCCTTTCATTTGACTCTCTCTCTCAAGCAGGATGCTGTGCGCTGTATGCTTGTGTTTATGCCCACATATTTGGGTGGGTGCGCTAGCAAGTGTCTATTGGAATTTACAACTCAACTCTGTATCCATTACAGTCATGCTCTCTTTCGCTCTCTCGCTCTCACATGCTCTTACTCTATTGCTCAGTCATTAGTAAAGTACGAAAGTCTCGTTGCATTTGCTTATTCCTGTGACTACTTGAGGGTTGGGTTTGCGGAACACAGCAAACGCTTTTAATGAATGAATGAATGAATTTCAGATTCAAACGAATGTTTCTTCTGATTGGACGATGTGTTGTTGGCTCTCAATGATTCTTATTCTTTAGTCGCGACTCGGCGAGCTTTAAGCTACGTATTTCCAGTATGTTGCATTGCATACTTTCAGGCTATTCACCATGTTATTGGAACAAAAGCTTAATATTTGAATTTTGAATAATTTAAGCGTGCAAAAAAAATGTTGTTTTATGTTCATGCAATCTTTATTTTAGTGCTAAGGTTTAACTGCATGGCACGGAGGACGATAATTTTTGCTACTTTAAGTTTTCGAAACCTTACCCGGTGGTTCTTATGGGCACGTTAATACAATGGAATAAATAGTTTCCGCATGAATTGGCACTGCAAGTGTATCTTCAAAAGCAACACAACTAAAAAAAAATTCAAGTCGATTTCGGTGCATAAATCAACTCGGGAATTTATCTCCAATTAATGCAACAATTTTTGGTTTCATGATTATATTCTCTAACTAGAAAACTGTGCCACCCACAAGCAGTTGTATTTTCGGATCTGATCATTGAGTTGTACCTCTTTTGAAAATGGTGTGCGATATGAACACAATTTTTCTACGCATAAATTGCTGATGTGTCTCAGCCGTTTTTATCGGATTCTATTTGAATGTGAATATTCGTTCTGCACCACATTTACGAACATTTTGTTTCAGCAAATCCTCAGAATTGCTGCGAATAGGTGTATTTAAAGCATATGCTACGATCATAGCTATAGTTCAGTGATAGCATAAGCGTAGACAAATCGGACTACGATGGATTCAGTGATAGCCCTGTTAGATTCGTACACGTAAGTGGACATGGATCACCTATACCCTCTGAAGCCGCACACAAAAAATATCGATTCGCTGCACTAAGCACGAAGCATTTCTTGGAGAAAAGCCAGATATATGGCTAGGTAGATTTAGCTTGTCAGCGCTTTATGGTTTAAGTGTATTTGAACGTTCTGTATTAAAGAATTTTTTTAAGTAAAGGGCATATGTACATATATAAATATTCCTGAATCCATTGTAGACTCTATGTTCGAAAGATCTACGAATATCCCTTAAATATAGTAGTTTGCATATCGTTACCTTAATTCAAAAATGCCCTAACCAACACTTTTTTTTTGAAATTGTGGTTCGCACAGATTTTGGTAGGACTCGTAAAATACACCTCCAACAAATTTAAAGTGTTAGTATCAAAGATATGGGAGTTGTACCAATTTTTTAAAAGCCCTATCTTTAGTTTTGTATATACTTTTTATGTTTTATGTTTCTTCTGTTAAATAAAAAATTTTCTGGGACTGATGTGATAGTCTGACAGACTATAGCATTGCTTACTGACAAAGCCTATTTTTCTACATATAGTTGATTTATATGACTATTCCAGTAAGGAGCATTTAAAATATTGATAGAATTTCAAGTTTAAATCAAAAAAAATAAAAATGATCCTATATATATATTTTTATCTGGAAAATTTATGTATGAGAGACACGTCAGTATAATAGGTAAACTTCGGTCACGTCAGTAGCAGAGAGTTAAGGTAACGATAAATACTCGGATTCATTCCACGATGGATTCAGTAATACCAAAGTTCATCTTTTTATGAAATTAGGCATTTTACAACAAAATCGAAAACCGCAGAAAAACTTCACAATTTCACTGTCCGACATAGCAATTCACATTAACTGCACACATCAACTTAATGAAAGGTTATTGCAAACCAAAAGAACAAAGCTTAATCCTGTGACCAAATCTTAAGTTTATTTGCGACTTTCCGTATTTAAGAATTACATAGACACAATATCGGAAAAGAGTAAACGTTTAAATTCATTTGCTGAAATCTTCGAAATACATTTCACTATATTCATACTTTGTTCTAACTTTTTATCTGAGTCGGTTTATTTATCGAAATGAAGCATTTAGTTTTTGTTCTCAATATAGTTTGTATAAAAATCAAGACGGCCACCTTGTTAGCCACAGCCAAGTTGGCAGTCACTAAAGCATTTATAAATAAAATGTGAAAACATAACTAAATTGCCTAAAAGAGATATCGTGATTTGTTGTTTGTTGTTGCTACTTCTGCTGCTGCTTTTTCCCCAATGTATTTGTTTGCTATTAACCATTTTAATGGGCCATGAGGTTATTGTTTTGCTACTTAGGATACAATAAAACTGCAACGCCTTACAAAAACAATAATCCTTCAAGCTTTACCAAATATCTGAGATAGACAATCCAAAGCCAAAAGTTTGCTTAATGCTTTGCCAATAATATCGATGCCAGTTGGCGCGCATTGCATCAAATTCGGATGCAGGAATGCCCGTTTGTTTAAGCTTCATTTGGGTGGTGTTTTTC